CACTGGTCCTACTGGAGGTCTTGCTAAGCGTCGTGAGCCTGCGTCTCGTCCTGCGTCGCCTGTTCGTGCTGCTCGCGCTAGTGGTCGCGGTTCGCGTCAGCGTCCTCCTCCTGTCCCTGGCACGCACCGGATGTCTCTGCGTCCGTCCACTGCTCCTCTGCGTGCCCCTTTGCCTTCTCCTCCTGAGTCCTCTCTTCCTGCGCTTGCCGACCCTGAGTCGGACTCTCTTCGTGCTGCCAGTCCTACTGTCACGCGTCTGCTTGCTACTGTCGTCACTGACCCCTCTTTTGAGTCCACTGCTGCGTCTGCTCTTGTCGCTGAGCTCGTCGACTTTGCTGCTCGATGTCGTCTAGACTACGCTGCTAGTCTTGTTGCTGAGTCTGCGTCTGTCTGTCCTCCGTCCGTCGGGGGTGAGTGTGCTATTGGCACGGACGTCCTAGAGGACAGGCAGGAGGAGTTATAATGTCTGGCTGCTGCTTCACCTCATCTCGCGTCTGTACTGCTTGCTCCTGAGGGAGACCCGGATGCACTTGACATCCCGACTCCGCGCTCTTACGCGGAGGCCGTAGAGGGTCCCTACTCGTCTCAGTGGCAGGCAGCTATGGATGCAGAGATGGCTTCCTGGAAGTCCACAGGCACCTACGTTGACGCAGTTCCCCCTCCTGGGGCGAACATTGTCAGTGGCATGTGGATCTTCAGGGTGAAGCGGCCGCCGGGCTCTCCACCTGTCTTCAAGGCGCGGTACGTTGCTCGTGGCTTCAGTCAGCGGCAGGGAGTTGACTACTTTCAGACCTTCTCTCCCACCCCGAAGATGACCACTCTTCGGGTGCTGCTGCACATAGCCGCTCAGCGCGACTACGAGCTTCACTCTCTCGACTTCAGCACTGCGTTCCTGCAGGGTAGCCTGCACGAGGAGATCTGGCTGCGCCGTCCACCTGGCTTCACTGGGACTTTCCCTCCTGGCACCCAGTGGAGCCTCCGACGGCCAGTCTACGGTCTCCGCCAGGCACCGCGTGAGTGGCACGACACACTGAGGACTACGCTTGCGGCTCTTGGGTTTGCTCCTTCTACTGCTGACCCGTCGCTGTTTCTGCGCACCGACACTTCTCTGCCGCCGTTCTACATCCTCGTGTACGTCGACGACTTGGTCTTTGCCACAGCGGACACTGCTGGACTCGCCTACGTGAAGTCCGAGCTGCTGAAGAGACACACGTGCACTGACCTAGGGTGAACTGCGCAGCTACCTTGGCTTGCAGATCACTCGGGACAGAGCACGCCGCACCATTACCTTGACTCAGTCACACATGGTGCAGCAGGTCCTTCAGCGCTTCGGCTTCACGTACTCCTCGCCTCAGGCCACTCCTCTGTCTACTCGCCACTCGCTCTCAGCTCTGCCTTCGGATGAGTCCGTAGAGTCAAGTGGCCCGTACCCAGAGCTTGTTGGCTGCCTCATGTACCTGATGACCTGCACACGACCTGACCTTGCATACCCTCTGAGCATTCTTGCACGCTATGTTGCTCCTGGGAGACACCGACCAGAGCACATGGCTGCAGCGAAGAGGGTATTGCGCTACCTGTGCAGTACGTCGGGCATGGGGCTAGTGCTTGGAGGGCGGAGTCCAGTGGTCCTTACAGGGCACGCGGACGCCTCTTGGGCTGACGACCAGGCTACGCAGCGGTCGTCACAGGGTTACACCTTCAGTCTTGGTTCCGGCTCTGTCTCGTGGTGGTCTACTCGTTCGTCTTCGGTTCTCAGCGCCACTTGTGAGGCTGAGATCCACGCCGGGGCCATGGCTGCACAAGAGCTTCGCTGGCTCACCTACCTGCTGACTGACCTTGGAGAGCCGCCTCGTTCTCCTCCAGTGCTGTACGTAGACAACAAGGCCATGCTGGCCTTGTGTCGAGAGCAGCGTCTGGAGCACAGAACGAAGCACATTTCTCTTCGCTACTTCCTTGCTCGTGAGTTACAGCAGCGTGGACAGTTGCGGCTTGCGTACGTAGCCTCTGAGGCCAACACTGCTGATGTGTTCACCAAGGCACTCGCGCCTTGTGACCATCAGCGCTTCTGCACCCAGTTGGGTCTTGTGCCTGTCTTGCCTCACTTGCTCTCCTCTTGACTTTACTTGTACTGTGACATATATATATACCTGCTCTTGCTTGTCTAGTTATATTTATATATATGTCTGTGCTCCTGCATATGAACTGGCCTCTGGCCCTGCTCTTATGCTCGGACTGTGTGGTGACTTTGTGATCCACCCTGAGCTTGCTTTGCTTTGCTTTGCTTGACTGGTCTTGTGACCCCTTGTTCTCCCCCACTTTGCCTATGGGGGTGTGTCAGAACATATCTATAGCTTATACTATTGTGTAGGCTGTAGTGGGGTATCCCATAAGGGGTACAACCCAGTTAGGGTTTCATATTTGTACTGCCTTCATTCATAGTTCACACATTCCTGTTCTACAATTATCACAGCGGAGACGCGTTAAGGTTGAGAGCAGGTCTTGCGCGCTCCATCCGCGCGATGATGATCGGGTTACGAATGTCAAACAGTGCGCACAGGTCCCGCGGCGCGATGCATGTCGCGCGCGCGTAGCCAATGAGCATTTCGCACGCGGCCCGAGCGGTGCGACGTGCTTCGCGCGTCACAGGGTTGCTGTCGTCGTAGACCACCTGCGTCGACGCAGGCGCCTCCCATATCTCCGCCGTCGGTTCCGATCGCGGCTCGATCGCCAACGGATCCTCACCGGGCTCGGCGCACGTCGGCTGGTTGGCATCGATGCCGACAAACTTCTGAGCGGGCATCGCGTTGGGCCCGAGTCCGAGCCGGTCAATCAGGCTACCGACGTCGTTGACGTCATCGTCCAGGCCGATGTCACCTCCGGCCGTGGGGCCGCCGCCAACTCCTGGCTCCACGTGCGGGAGTTCCATCGCCCAGGCGCGCGGGAGACAACCGGTGCGCCACCAGCAACGCTGGATGGTGCTACGCGGGATATTCATCCACGCGTCGTGGAGCCACTCCAGCAGTAGACGGAGGTTCGGCTTGAACCTAGCTGCCGCGGAGGTGGCGCCTTCGGCAGTCCACATGTCCGTGAAGGCGCGGAGCCAATGCTGGCGGTACCGCGCCTTCGCCATGGCAATGAGCCCCTGGTCAAGGGGCTGAATGAAGCAGGTGGTGTTAGGAGGCATGAACACCAGGCGCACGTTCTTGAGCGCACGCGTACGGAACCCGAAGAGATCTTTGGTCACAGCGCCTTCGGTAGTCAGATTGTGGCTGCTGGCGTTGTCGAGCAGGACAACAATGTTGCGGTCCTCTGCATTCATGGTAGCATCGAGTTGTTCGATGTAGTGCGTGAATAGCTGCCAACCAAGCAGACGGGTTGACACAAAAGTCAAGGGTGAGAGGGGTGAGTTAGAGGGCCGGTAATGTGGTATGTTTGGCGGCAGTACAAAAACCGTGGCAACACAACGGATGCACTCATTCTCACCGAGGAAGTCATCCAACCTTTGGCGGTGTTGCGCCAGTAGCATAACTCCTTTGGATTATAGTCCGGCCGGAAATCGTGGGGCCGTTTCGCCTTGGAGATGACGAGCGGGCGGAAGGCGTGCGAGCCCTCCGCGTTCACCAGGAATCCGACGGTTAGTCGTTCCTTCGGCGCCTTCCGCCCCGCCGACCTGCCGGTGCCGTATGTTTTGCGCGGCAGAACGGAGATGAAAAGCGCCGTCTCGTCGAAGTTGAACGTATCACGCGGGCGTACACCGAGTTGTATGAGAAGCTGCGAGAGCTTCTCCCGAGCGGTGCGGACGGCGTTCATGTCCTGGTCTGCCGCTTCGCCGACAGCGCTCATGTACCTTACTCCCTGGCGGCGCAAAGCACGCCACACCCATCCAATAGAGCAGCGAAATGTCGCTGGCACACCATTCGCACGTGCCATGGTAGCGACATGGTCGCGGATTGTGGTCAATGTCAGCGGAACGCCAGCGGGACCCGCATTGGCAATCCAACGTGCCATTGCGCGCTCCAGGTCCGGGTACGCGCCGCCACGCACACGAATAGCGTCAACAGCGTCGTCCGGGATGCGCCATCGTTCGGCGCCCTTCAACACTCGGCCGATGGTGGATCGGTCGGGGCGTACCCCAAAGCGCGTGAAACACCAACGCGCGAGATCTACATGGCGGAGCAGCGGGTGAGCAACATGGTGGGCGCAGATGGCCCTTTTGATGTGCAGCGCAAGCTGAGAGCGGTGATAGAGACGAGGCATTGTGTGCCTCTGAGGGTGGAAGTGAAATTGAGTTAGTGAAGAGTGACGGGAGGATTTATGTCAATTCGAAGCAGTATGCGCGGCTTGGAAGGAGTGCAAGATGGTGCTCCTCGTGAGTGTATTTGGCTTGATGTTTAGAGGTTGTGCTACCATGTAACCACAACCATAAAGGGTGACGTGTGCTGCTCCCAGGCTGAACGGCTCACAGAGGGCGTGTATCGAGCAAGGGCAAGGAACAGGTGGCATTCTGCAGAAATCCACAGACTGTTATATGCACGTGGTAACGTCCAACGTGGCATGACGTAACATGCCTTAACCCCGGCGACGTTTTCGGAGTTTCGTCCAGACATTTCGTGGACTCTGTTTCTGGCCTACAAAACGAGGAATGTCCAGGTCGGCGGCTGTTGTTTGTATCGACGTACGCAGTTTTGGGCGTATTCACCAGGTGGGGTCAAGTGGTTTAACGTGCTTATAAACAGGGTGCAACGTCAGTGCAAAAAACCCACAGGTGTAAGGTTTCCATCATGGGCGGGGCAATTTCGCGTGCACTGGTTGGGCATCGTGTGTACATGGAAAGTTGCATTGACTATATTGTCAAGCGAATCTCGCAAACGTGGAGGAGGAGGTAACTTGTTCGCAGCGACAATTCATACACTCATAGTAGACCTTCACTAGTTACAGTCTGATCGCGTGCTGATCGAATCGCAGACCCACCCTGCGACGGCCGTCGCTTCCTTCCAACCATGCCGAAGGTTGATCGCGGCGAAATCGTCGCATGCCCGCCTGTGCGACTGCTCACGGGCGACGAGCTCGGCCTACTCAAAGGTACAGCGATTAGCGATCGAACCATCGCGCTGATTTCGTGGCGATTCTCTGCGCGACCAGCTCGCGAAAGTACTCTCGCCTCTCGCCTCTCGTTGCCTTCATCCCTAATGGAAATGACGCGCTAAGTATTCCAACGTTCGTGCATTTTGCCAACCGAATCGCCTTATTCCCTTCCTCCCTTCGCACCCGCAGTGGTTTCTCTCGGGCAGAATAAAGGCGCCGCAGCAGGAGGCTCGGCCGGGGCCCGAGCCGGAGCGTCCGGTTCGGCGCAGTCCGAGGTGGTTAGGTTCGGCGAAGCGGATAAGGGTCGTACGGCAGTATGCTCATCGGCGTGTGTGGCGGTAGACGAGCGATCGTCGGTGAGTGAGCGTGGGCGAGGGATCTAGGTTTAAGGGTTTAAACGGCCGAAGGGCTTAAGGTGGGTTCTAACAGTCCTCTAAGACCGGTATGAGCTGTCGTGGACGTGGTATGAGCTGTCGTGGACGAGAAGTTAGGATAGTCTTGCGCCGAGCTTACAGCATCGGGGTTTAAGCTCTTCTCACAGCACTTGTTTTGGCATTGGCTTGAGTGGGAAAGCAAGTGGTTCTGATCTGACGCATCAAGCAGGTGTGACAGGACGGACCAACGCTCAGGGGTTTAGGGTGTTACAATCCGTTGGAGCAGCTTTCCCCTCCACCCTCCCTCCCACCCCTTTAAATCCGTAAGCAGTCAGATCTTCAGTTAGACGGCGTTCTTCAATTATATGTAACTCAATATGAATCTTGGTCATTACATGATGAGATGCGACTGCCTTTTCCTTCCTTCCGTTTCTTCTTCTGTGTGGATGGGCAGATCGTGGCAGTCGCCCGCAAGCATGGCATGGTGGGTTCGGGGTTTCAGGGTGGGCATGACATGGCACGTTAAGGGTTCGGGGTTTAGGGGAGGCAGGGCAGGGCTGGTTGAAGGTTTTCTTTCCATCCCTCGATGTGCGGATTGGCAGATTGTGGCAGATGGCATGGTGGGTTGGGGGTTGTAGAAAAGGCATGGCAGTGCAGCTTGGGGTTTTCGGGGACGCAGGGCAGGGCAGATTTTTGGGGGTGAGGGCGAGCTTGGCATTTGCATGCATTGCTGCTGGAGGGGATGCACATGGATTTAGCAAAGCACGCTTTGCCTCGCTCTTGCTGATGATTCCTTTCCCGCATCGCTTTCTCTCCCCTCCGCTACCACTGCCTCCTGTTTTCCGTACGTTTTCACATGCTTCTTTCCTCCCCCACTCAATGCCCACCTTTTCCCTTGCCACTTTCTCTCTATCCCCACACCGTCCTTCCGTTTCCTACACCCCCGCGCATTTATTCAGGTTGACGTGTTGCTCCTTTCAACACCCGCTCCACCCGCAGTAGAAGCACCAGAAGCAGCAGCAGCAGCAGGTGAGGCACCAGGGGGAGGGGAAGGCGCCAGCGCCGCCCCTCCTCCAGCCAGCACCGCTCCCCAGGTCCGACTGCTGCTCTCCTTCCCCGCCTGGCAGGGCTGCCTGCAGGGCGAGGGGTGCGCAGCGGTGCAGAGCGGTAGCCAATGCAGGGAGGGGGATGGGGGGGAAAGGGATAGCGACGTGGGGCAGGGGAGCGAGGAGGGCAGGGAGGCAGGAGGGTTAGGAGGAGAGGGGCAACAGGCTTTGTCAGAAGGGCTGTGGGGACTGGCGGATGCGAGCCTGGACGGTTCGTGCTGCTCGCTCTCCCTCCTTCCCCACCCGCCCAGTGCTGCTGCCACGCCAAGAGGTGACGCCACTGATAAAGGCGCAGCCGATGCAGGGGTGCAGGGGGAGCAAGGAGAGCAGGACGAGCAGGCGGGGAGGCAGGTGTGGGTGCTGGTGTCGGTGTCACACAATGGGTTGGTGTGCGTGCGAGAGGTGGCGCTGGTGCCTAGGGGGGACAGAGGGGAGGCTGAGAGGGTGTGGGAGGAGGGAGAGAGGGGGAGTGGGAGGGATGAGGAGTTGGAGGAAGGGGAGGAGTTGGAGGAAGGGGAGGAGGTGAGTGAGGGAGAGGAGGAGGGGGAAGAGGGGCAAGATGAGGGTGCGGAGTGGGCAGCAGAGCAGCGGCTGGTGCGGCGGTTTGTGGCGATTGCACCGCGCAAGCCGTCGAGGAAGAAAAGGAAGAGGCAGGGCGGCGCTGAGAGTGACTCGGGTGGCGATTCAGGGGCGGGAGGGGGCCCACGCAGCAATGGTGATGCCGCTGCAGCTGCTGCTTCTGCTAATGGTACAGCTACGGCGGGTGCGACAGCAGGGGGAGCAGAGAGGCCTCGTCTGCTGTGTGCTGCTGTGGACCCCACCGGAGCCACCATTGCCGTTGGCGGGTCAGTGCTCTCCCTTCTTGCCGTCCCCTCTCCTCTGTCCTCTCCCTTACGCCCCATTTCTCTACTCTTTCTCCCGGTCTTGCCTTCCTTTCCCTAGTTCAAACTTTCCTCCTTCTCACTGCTTATTTCCCACTTCTCATATGCTCTTTCCTTTCCGCCTCATTCCCACTTAAACCCTTATCACTTCCTCTCTCTCTCTTTACCCCCTTGCTGCACTGCAGGAAAGAGGCGGATCTGACAGTGTGGGAACTCCAAACAGGCACTCTCAAATGGGAGGCTAAACTGGTGAGTGCACTTTCCCCGTGCTGCCTCTTCCCTTGTCCGATTTCACTACTGTGTTCCCACTGCATCGCTCGCCCCTCTTCCCCTCATATGCCCAAGCTGGTGGGTGCATGCACTTGCCTTTCGCTGCCTCCCTCCGTTTCCCTGCTTTCATTCCTTCTCCTTTCCTTGCACTGCCTCTTCTCCCTTTTCATTGCTCTGTCTCCCTCTCCCTGCCCCTCATTTCGCTGTGGACGATGTGGTGGAACCAAAGCAACCAAGCCTTCTCCCTTTTCTCCTTCCTCAAGACTTTGTGCACCCTCATCCCCAATTACCCCGTGTCGCTCGAACCCCCCAGCCCCTCCCGAGCCCGTACGGTGTGGTGGCGCCGAAGCACGTGACAGCGGTGTGCCACATCAGCGCATGCCACCCGGCACGCCTCGTCACCGCCTGCCAGGACAACTCTCTGAGAATCTTCGACCTCCTTTTGCAGCCGCGCCCCCTGAAAGTCGTTTCTCTGGGCACCGTTCCCATCCGCTCGCTTGCTGCTGTGTGGAGCAAAGGTGGTGGGGAGGAGTGCAGTGCGGTGACAGTCGGAACGGGCATGGGGGAGATGAAGCTGGTGGATCTGACACACGGTGAGCGAGTGGCTGTGGTGGGATGCGGTGCTACCAGGTGCTATGAGGTGCTAGCAGGTGCTACCATACCAAGCACTGCAGTGAGTGCAGTTCAGATCAGCGCGATTTAGTGATATCTAAAGGTGTGGCCAGGAGACTTTTGAGTCGACTCAAAAGTTCAGATTAACGCGATTTAGTGATGTCTAAAGGTGTGGCCAGGAGAAGCGCAAGCAGGAATGATGCCTCACACAAGGCAGGCGTGAAAGAGAGTGTTGCGGTGGAGAATTGATGGTTCTCGCTTGTCCTGCACTGCACCTGTCGCTGCTCGTCTTTCTCTATCCAATCAAACCATGCACTGTCACCACCGTGACCTGCTGCAGCAGCCTGCGCTGCGCTCTGATTGGTTGGCAGCAGCACTGGCGCCGCACTGACCTGCTTCCTCTGCACTGCACTCGCATCGGTTTGGATTCAACCGCTCAATTCAGAAGGACACATAGGTGAACTTTGGCTTGTTGTAAAAGTCCCCTCCCCTCCTCTTCCCTTCCCTCCCCTACTCTCCGCTCCCATTCCCCCCCCTAACCCCTTCTCCCCTCCCCCATCTTCCCCCTCCGATTTCCTTCCCTCTCTTCCCCTCCCCTACCTGACTCTCCCCTCCCCTACCTTCCCCTCCCATCCCTTCCCCTCCTGTCCTCTCCCCTGGCCTTGCCTCCCGTCCACGCCTCGACTCCCTTCCCCTCCCCCCCTTGCGCACACCACGTGCACGCCACAGGTCGCATCGCTGGAGCATTCATGGGCGAGTGTGCTTCCCTTCCCATCCCGTTCACTCCCCTCCTCTCCTCTCCTATCCTCCCCTCTCCCCTGTTCCTCTTGCGCACACCACGTGCATGCCACAGGTCGCATCGTTGGAGCGTTCAAGGGCGAGTGTGCGGGCTCCATTCGTTCACTCGCCATGCACCCATCGCTGCCCCTTGTGGCCTCTTGTGGTATGTGTCGCACTTCACACGAGCTCCAGTCCAGATAGGAATATTTTGAATTCTTGCGTCGCTGCGGGTCTTTTACTATTCTCCTTTTTGGACGAGTAACGAGTCGACCAATCGCGATCAGTACTCACTGCCTGGCTCTCTCCTTTCATCCCGCCCGCCCCTTGTCCCCACCAGGTCTGGACCGTTATGTGCGCATACACCACCTGCACTCACGCCGCCTCGTTGCCAAGGTACGCTCTCCGAGGGGCTGCTGGCCAAGCAGGTGAGAAGAGGCAAAGGGTTTGGATAGGGCTTATCGCTGGTAGGAAGGGTTTGGATAGGGCTTATCGCTGGTAGGAAGGGTTTGGATAGGGCTTATCGCTGGTAGGAAGGGTTTGGATAGGGCTTATCGCTGGTAGGAAGGGTTTGGATAGGGCTTATCGCTGGTAGGAAGGGTTTGGATAGGGCTTATCGCTGGTAGGAAGGGTTTGGATAGGGCTTATCGCTGGTAGGAAGGGTTTGGATAGGGCTTATCGCTGGTAGGAAGGGTTTGGATAGGGCTTATCGCTGGTAGGAAGGGTTTGGATAGGGCTTATCGCTGGTAGGAAGGGTTTGGATAGGGCTTATCGCTGGTAGGAAGGGTTTGGATAGGGCGTATCGGTGGTAGGAGTGTAGAGATTCAGGTTGCCACGTCAAGTGAGAGGGGTTTTCAAGTGGTTTTGGATGCAAGCTCAATATGCGTTCTGATTACCACGTTGCACTCCGGTCGCAAACTTCGGGCACCTGCTAGCTCTTTGTTTTCCTCCACCTGCCCATTCCCATTCTCCACCAGGTGCCCCTCCCATTCCACTAGCCCCTTCATCAGCGTTGACTTTTCGTGCTGACGTTTGCTCCTCCCCTTCCTTGCTCCTCCCCTTCCTGCCTCACCGTGTGCTGCCACCCCCCTGCACAGGTGTTTCTGAAGCAGCCACTCAACTTCCTCTGCTTCCTGCCAGAAGCGGTGGCGTCTGGAGCTGCTGCATCAGGTGAGGCAGCAGGTGCTTCGGTCAGGTGAGGCAGCAAGTGGTTTGGTCAGGTGAGACAGCAAGTGGTTCGGTCAGGTGAGACAGCAAGTGGTTTGGTCAGGTGAGGCTGCAAGTGGTTTGGTCAGGCAGGTGTTCGGAGCAGGTGGATTGCTGTATACTGAATACTGAAGGCCTTGAATGTGCTTTTACATATGCTTCCTATTCCAATCCATCATGCATCAATCCAGGGCCTCCAAGCTCCAAGCGCAAGCTCACAGATGTGACTGTAGCGGGTGGTGACAAAACAGAGGCAGAAGAGACACCAGCTGAGGCAAAAAAGGCAGCTGCAATTGGAAAATCTCAGCCCAGACTGGCACAGGGTGGAGAAAGCAAGGCTGTGGCTGCTGGCAGGAGTGCGGCAGGCAGGAGGTCTGGAAAGGCGGCAAGCGAGGCTGGGAGGAAGGTGATGAGTGGTGCTGGTGGGAGTAAGCGCAGCAAGCAGGCAGCTTGATGGGTGGGGTGATGGAAGGTACCGCAATCTCCCTGATAAAACTTCTTGCAGTTTGAGTAAACCAATCGAAGACTGTTAAAGATCCCGGCAGTAAATTTGTTTATTCTTGAAACGTTTACGAAATATATAACAGGCGCAAACTATATTGCGTCTTGGAAAATGGGCTGAAATCAAGATCAAATTGTGAGAGGGTTTCTAATAGTTATAGTGCAAATTGCGTGAACCTGGTTATCTAAAGCTTGAAAGCAGCGTACCAGTGGTTCATGAAGCCCATTCCATACCTTATGACGGAGAGATGTGTTGCTGACGCGTTGCACCACCCGCAAGTCTCGCTGCACCATTAGGACTTTGCCCTCATTCTTCTAGGCTGCACTAGCAGGGTGATCCTCGTGAGAGAGCGATGCTCTCCTTACGTTTGTCGGATGGAGCGAGCGTTGTTCCGAACACCATGTGTAACACCTCGCTACCCACTGGGTCAAAACGAGGGTTGTATTTGAGGCGCAGCGGATGCTCTCATACCCTTACGTGTAAGCCCCACAGGCGTTACACTCGTCCCCCCCTGGAGCCAACGTCCTCGTTGGGCAGGGAGTCGGCCCTCTCAAGGACCTGAATCTCGCTCTACAGCGACTTCGCTGGTGGGCCAAGCCAGCGGCGGATCGTTCACTAGGTTCGCGACTGGCAACATTCAAATGTAACCCAGCCGTGAATCGAACCCCAGGCTCTGAGACCAAATGTAACACCTCGCTACCCACTGGGTCAAAACGAGGGTTGTATTTGAGGCGCAGCGGATGCTCTCATACCCTTACGTGTAAGCCCCATGGGCGTTACACTCGTCCCCCCCTGGAGCCAACGTCCTCGTTGGGCAGGGAGTCGGCCCTCGCAAGGACCTGAATTTCGCTCTACAGCGACTTCGCTGGTGGGCCAGGCCAGCGGCGGATCGTTCATTGGGTTCGCGACTGGCAACATTCAAATGTGACCCAGCCGGAATCAAACCCCAGGCTCTGAGACCAAATGTAACACCTCGCTACCCACTGGGTCAATACGAGGGTTGTATTTGAGGCGCAGCGGATGCTCTCATACCCTTACGTGTAAGCCCCACAGGCGTTACACCATGCACCATGCATGCGTGTCCTGCCCGCCATGTGTTTCTCAAAGCAACGGCACTTTCGCATGCGCCGCGCGTCGCGTTTGGCCCCAGACTTCCCCGCGTGATGGCCACCATGTACGACGAGTTAAGAGGGAAATAGAATGAATAATTTTGCGATACCATTTCTCGCGTTAATTAAGCGACTCGAGAGTTCTCGGTGGAGCCGCGAACGCAATTCTATTCAACGAGGCGCATGGGCTTGCGCAATCCGACAGCGTGCTGATTATCATCCCCGACACCTGGCAGGGAACGACCCTCGTTAAGCGACCCGAGAGTAGATTCCTTGGTGGAGCCGCGAAAGCGACCCTACTGGCGCATGGCTTGTGCAATTCGTCCTGATTGTTACCCTACACCTCGCAAGGAAAGCCCTCCGACACACCGAATTCGGTTGCCATTCACTTGGTCTCTGAATGGCGTTCGTTCGTTTCTCTTTTCCTGCTGTTTCCTTCAGCCATCGCACAGAAAAATCCCCTTTCTAGGAGTTTTTTATTTCGGAAACGGAGTCTGTCTTCTTCCTCCAACGGGTCCTACACGCTCGCCTCACCCGGTTCTCTAGCACGTCGTGACGATTCCGAATCGGGTGCCTCAGTTTCTGCCGGTTCATCGTCGGCGCAAAGCTCCTTTGATTCTACGGGCACCAGTTAACCAGCGATCTCGCAGTTCTCCTGGTTGAGATTGGCACGAGAAGCATTGAGATAGTGTCGCCATGGCCATGCGGGCTTGGGACAACGCACAAGAAGCGTTGCAAGAAGTTTTTTCTGGGAGAACGCGCAAGTGAGTTCCTGCGACCGTGAGGAATGATGGTGGGTGGATGCATGTCTGTGACCTCGATGTTGCGGGAAGGTCAGATTGGTGGCGCTTATCCTGGAACGCCGCATCTTCCTTGCACAATTTTTATCATAAGCAAATGTTAGGAATATCTAGGTTCTCAACTTTGCACAGATATAGTGGTAAATTCCTTGGTAAGCAGATTGTGTTCACTGTGACTTCCATTCCTTGGTAAATTCCGACCCCAGTACGAGTCTCTCAGTTGCTGTCACCCTCTTAGCCGCCAGTTCTTCCCAGCGCCGCCCCTCTTCTGTTCCCAACGTTGCGTGTCAATTGTTTTCTTGCTTTGAACGCGAAGCAGGCCGGGAAATGGAGGGCGTGTAAGAGATGCAGGATCATTGGAATTCTGCAAGCTGCGAAGGGGACGCTATAGAAGGTAGGCATGGCACAGTTTGCTTGGCAGTTGAAATGTAAGAACCGCTGTTGAACTTGCATTTTGGAGTTCAACTGTTGTGTTGTCTCATGTCGAGCTCAAGCAGGTTCCAACAGCTTCTCAGATAGCAGCTCTTGACCGCATTCATCCACCCGCTGATTGTTGAGTTGACTCAGAAGTCTCCCCCACTCACCTTCCCCCTCCCCTCCCCCCTCCTCCCCTCCCCCTTTCCCCCTCCTCCCCCCCTCCCCTTCCTCCCTACTCCCCTTCCTCCCTCCTCCCCTTCCTCCCTCCTCCCCTTCCTCCCTCCTCCCCTTCCTCCCTCCTCCCCTTCCTCCCTCCTCCCCTTCCTCCCTCCTCCCCTTCCTCCCTCCTCCCCTTCCTCCCTCCTCCCCTTCCTCCCTCCTCCTCCCCTCCTCCCCCCCTCCCTTCCTCCCTCCTCCTCCCCTCCTCCCCCCCTCCCCCCCTCCCCTCCTCCCCCCCTCCCCTCCCTTCCTCTCCCCTCCCCTCCCCTTCCCCCTCCCCTCCCCCCTCCTCCCCTCCCCCTTTCCCCCTCCTCCCTCCTCCCCTTCCTCCCTCCTCCCCTTCCTCCCTCCTCCCCTTCCTCCCTCCTCCCCTTCTTCCCTCCTCCCCTTCCTCCCTCCTCCCCTTCCTCCCTCCTCCCCTTCCTCCCTCCTCCCCTTCCTCTCCCCTCCTCCCCTCCTCCCCCCCTCCCCCCCTCCCCCCCTCCCCTCCTCCCCCCCTCCCCTCCCTTCCCCTCCCCTCCCCTCCCCTTCCCCCCCCTCCCCCCCTCCCCCCCCTTCCCCTTCCCCCCCCCCCTCCTCCCTTCCCCCCACCCACCCCCCTCCCCTTTCCCCCACCCCCCCCCCTCCCTTTCCCCCGCCCACCCCCCCCCTCCCTTTCCCCCGCCCGCCCCCCCCCCCTCCCTTTCCTTCGCCCGCCCCCCCCCTCCCCTTTCCCCCGCCCGCTCCCCCCCCTCCCCTTTCCCCCGCCCGCTCCCCCCCCTCCCCTTTCCCCCGCCCGCTCCCCCCCCTCCCCTTTCCCCCACCCGCTCCCCCCCCCCCTTTCCCCCACCCGTTCCCCCCCCTCCCCCTTTCCCCCACCGCCCCCTCCCCTCCCCCTTTCCTCCACCGCCCCCTCCCCTCCCCCTTTCCTCCCCCACCGCCCCCTCCCCTCCCCCTCCTCCCCCTCCTCCCCCTCCCCTCCCCCTCCCATCCCCCTCCTCCCCCTCCTTCCCCTCCTCCCCCTCCTCCCCCTCCTCCCCCTCCTCCCCCTCCTCCCCCTCCTCCCCCTCCCCTCCCCCTCCTCCCCCTCCTCCCCCTCCCCTCCCCCTCCTCCCCCTCCCCTCCCCCTCCTTCCCCTCCTCCCCCTCCCTTCCCCCTCCTTCCCCTCCTCCCCCTCCTCCCCCTCCTCCCCCTCCCCCTCCCCTCCCCCTTTCCTTCTCCCCCTCCCCTCCCCCTCCCCTCCCCCTCCTCCCCCTCCCCTCCCCCTCCTCCCCCCTCCCCTCCCCCCCCCTCCCCTCCCCTCCTCCCCCCTCCCCCTCCCCTCCTCCCCCCTCCCCTCCTCCCCCCTCCCCCCTCTCCCCCTCCCCCCTCCCCTCCTCCCCCCTCCCCCCTCTCCCCCTCCCCCCTCCCCCACCTTCCCTCCCCCCCCTCCCCTCCCATTCCCCCCCCCTGCACAAACTCTTTCCTCAGCCTCTTCCAAGCTCGTAGGGCATGGTGGCGCTCAAGTACCCAAGCCTCTATAGCACCCAAGAAAGAAGCACCCAAGCCTCCCTCCTTAATTCCATCTATATTTTCCCTTCCCCTTTCCATCCTTCTCACACACACCCCCCTCTCCAGCCCCTCCCTAGCCCATTCGGTGCGATGGCGCTGAAGCACGTGACAGCGGTGTGCCACGTCACCACCTCTTGGACAACTTGCTGCGCCTATTTGACCTGCTGCTGCAGCCTTCCCCTGAACGTCGTCTCTCGCATGCTCGCTGCTCTCTGGAGAAAGAGTGGGGAGGAGTGCAGTGCGGTGCCGGTCGGGACCAAGGTAGAAAAAAACGATTGTCGAAAAATACGATTGTTTTTTTCGATGGTTTTTACAGTATGTTTTGGGAAAAAAACGTCGTTTTTTTGTTAGACAAAAAAAACTCTTCAACTTCAAAGATGCTGTTCTGATCACAAAAGCACTTCCAAGAATCTTCCGCTGCATCATCAGCACTTCTAACGGCCCCCTTGTTCTTCTCACCAGTCAATCCCCTTGTTTCAGCAGCAGTTTTGGTCTTTTTACTGGAAAAAACGAAGGTTTTTTTGCACCAAAAGTATATATTTTCAAAAACCGTTTTTTTTATCGTTTTTTACGATCGTTTCTTACGATAAGGTATTTTACGATCAAAATTTGAAAAAAACGTCGTTTTTTTTTTCACCTTGATCCGTGCTACCTCGCTTGTCACAGCGTCATGTACGTGAGTCGGCTCATTAAGGTCTGGGCAGCGCAGCGCATGGCTGGGAAGGGTGGGATCAGTATAGGTATGGCCACAGGAACAGGTTGGGGCTGACTCTAGGAGACGGATGTGAGGAATGGGGAGGCCTAGGCGGATTTCAGCCGCGATTAGCCAGTATGCAGGTTCGAGTTGGGCACGGGGAGCAGAAGGGACAGTGGTGAGCCAGGCACCAGCAGATGGGTCCTGAAGGGAAGTTAAACGGACCATTTGGTGGTGATGGGCAGCGGCTGAACGCAGCTGCTCTGCTGCATGTGCTGAGATGCGCTGTGCTAGGGCAGAAAATAGCCTGTTCGGGTAACCAGCAAGTAGAGCGGACCAGGGAGGGACTAGGTGACGAAGATCGTCAGGTAAGGCAGCCAGAGCACGCGAAATCTGAGGGTCTAAAGGGTCAAGGGCATCGCTGGCAATGAAAGGCTGAAGAAAACAGTCGCCGTCAATGCTGCAGTTGTTAGCTAGGACTGGTATTGCTTGAGCCCAGCTGCAGACATAGCTAAGCGATGCGTGTCTGTGTGCACTCTGAATCCCAAGACCCCCCAAGCAAATCGGTAAAAAGGCCTGTGAATGGGTTAGCTGACCCTCCGCCGTATCAAGGTCCCATGTGTCAGGAGGGAAGAGGGAAATGAGGGTATCGAGAAGGTGGTCATCCCAGTCAGTGTATGCCTCTAGGACGTCGTCTGTGGGTGGGACCGTGCGGAGGAGGTAAGAAGGTTTGGCGGAAAGGCACATAGCGAGCAAGTGGGCAACAATCTGCGGGTTTTCTAGACGCGCGAGCCATGGTGCAGCAACTCTTAGCGAAGCAAGGCGTTTGCATAGCTCTGATGTAACGAAATCAGGTTCGCCTACGGGGACGCGTGCGACAATTATTCCCTTATCCTGGAGGGCTATTCCATGGGGGAGCTGTAGAGGATCTGGCCATCCCTGTGGCGCCCAGGCTTGACACTTAGTGGGCTGGACACTGAGACCAAGGTCTGCGAACTGCTGCTGCAGAGCTGTAAAGACAGTTACAAGGCGCTCTGGGGGCCCTAGGATGTACGATTTGTCGGCATATGACATGCAGAGAATGCCAGGGAAGGCATTGCGAATGGCACGGACCCCGCTACCAGGTCTGGACCGTTACCTGCATATTGGCCATTTGCTCACTCGCAGCCTAGTCGTCAAGGTGCGTCCAGCTTACTATTGGTGGGGCTGCTTGTAAGTCACCATGTATGATGAACTATTGGCGGACGGTGTAAATGGATACTGACATACCGTCATCGCCCGGATATAAGACATATATGTCTTATCTCGTACACGGGCAAAAATGCTTGGGTTGTCTTGTATTTGGGACGGTTTAGGGTGTCTTATAAATCTTATAAATGGACAAAGAACCGTTTAGAAGATACCCCTTCGTCATACATTTGCCCCTAACTCCTACACTTTCTTAATCCGTACACACAAATAGGTGTCTTATAATGAAGCTAGCCTGTTTATAAGAGACACCTGTATAATAGACAACCCCTGTCTACTATTCAACACTGTCTTATATCCGGGTGATGACGGTACTCGTATTCGTATTCGGTATCCGACAAATACCAAATAAAAAACGAAAAGAATATCATTGCCTATTCGACTATTATTCGGATATGACTATTCGATGTATTCGGTATTCGCCAGCCAGATATTTGGGTATTCGTATAATTATTTGACTATCCTAATCTGTATGCTGTCAGATTACTATAGCTGATGCATGTTTGTAGGCTATAGTGGGGTAGCACATATGGGGTACAGCTTTCTAGGGTTGTATTTGTACCCAACTCTGACTTAGTCATTCATTCCTGTTCTCTTACTTTCACATGGTATAGAGCGGGTCCTTCCTAAGGACCGTTTTTTTTAGGGCCCACCGAAGCGCGCCCCGAGGCGCGCATTTTTTTTTTCAGCGACTCTCCGAGTCGCACTTCCTCTCGTGGCTCCGCCGCCCTTACTAGCGGCTCCGCCGCCCACCTTTCGAGCGGCCCCGCCCTTTAGCGGCCCCGCCCCGTCGCGGCCCTGCCCTCTAGCGGCCCCGCCCCGTTGCGGCCCCACCCTGACGCGGCCCCGCCCCTTTGCGGCCCCTGCCCCGTCGCGGCCCAGCCAGCCCCGTCGCGGCCCCGCCCCGTCACGGCCCAGCCGCCCCTTCGCGGCCCAGCCGCCCCGTCGCGGCCCCACCCCGTCGCGGCCCCGTCGCCCCGTCACGGCCCAGCCCCGTCGCGGCCCAGCCGCCCCGTCGCGGTCCAGCCCCGTCGCGGCCCAGCCGCCCCGTCGCGGCCCAGCCGCCCCGTCGCGGCCCAGCCCTGTCGCGGCCCCGCCGCCCCGTCGCGGCCCCGCCCCATCCCGGCCCAGCTGCCCCGTCGCGACCCGGTCGCCTCCTGATGGCCCCGCCGTCCCTTCGTGACGGCCCCGCCGTCCCTTACTGACGGCCCCGCCGTCCCTTCGTGACGGCCCCGCCGTCCCCTTCTACCGGCCCCGCAACTGCACCTGCTGGCCCCGCCGCTGCACCTACCGGCCCCCACCACCCCCCCTTTTCCCGTCGCCTGTCGAGGCGACCTGAGAGGCCAGCAGGGGGGTGGCAGGTGTGTGGCCTCCCCTGCTTCTCCTCCTCCTTCATCTCCCACTGCAGCAGCCGAGCCGCTCACCTGCAGCAGCCGAGCCGCCCCACCGCCGAGCCGCCCTGCACCCGAGCCGCCCAGCAGCCGAGCCGCCCTGCCGCCGGGTCGCTGAACTGCTGAGCTGCAGTTGCTGCCGAGCCGCCCTGCCGCCGAGCCGCCGAGTCGCCGAGCTGCTGAGCTGCAGTTGCTGCTGAGCCGCCTTGCCGTCGAGCCGCCCGAGTCGCCCGAGCCGCCGAGCCGCCGAGCTGCCGAGCCGCTGAGTCGCCGAGCCTACTCTTCCCACCACTGGTGAGCTCTTGCCCTGCTAGCACGCTGCGCGTCGCCTGCTTGCCTGCCTGCCTGCCTTTTGGCTTGCCTGGCTGCCTGCCTTCCTGCTGCTAGTCCTGCTCCTGCTTCTACTTGCGGAGCCAGATGCAGCCCCAGCGACGCCTGCGTGAGTCCCTCACGCCCCAGCAGCTGCGTGAGTGGTACGCTGGTTGGGGCTGTAGGGGTGGCGGCGCTACTCCTACTACCACTCCTGCTGCTTCTACTCGTGGTGGCGGTCAGATGCAGCTCCCGCGACCCTCTCGCGTGTCTCTCACGCCTCGCCAGCTTCGTGAGTGGTACGCTCAGAGTGGAGGGTCTCTCAATGCTGTTCGCTGCTCTTACGTGATTCGCACTGGTACTCGGACTGGTCAGCCTTGTGGGACACCTAGTCATACACAGTCCCGCTGCTTCGCCCGTCTGAGCGACGCCTGGCGTACCGTGTTTGGCGACGAGGCTGAGCTTCCCGACTGGGTGGAGTTGCTTAGGCAGAGGGTAGATATATATGCTCTTGACTATGATGCTATTCTCACTGCCATGTATGCATTGCCTACTAGTGCTGACCGTGCCGGTCCCCTGTGCGTCCCGCCTGACCCAGGTATAGGACCTGCTGCTCTAGCTACTGGTGAGGCTGCTGCTCTGGGTGCTAGTGCGTCTCCTGCTCCAGGTACAGGTGCGGCTGCTGCTCTAGGTGCTAGTGAGTCTGCTTCCTCAGGTGCGGGTGAGGCTGCGCTCTCAGGTACCGCGTTGGCTTCGGCCTCCCTCACCTTTACACTTGACTCTGGGGCTTCTCGCTCCTTCTTTCGGGACCGCACCACACTCACGCCGCTTGGTCGGCCGGTTGCAGTCTCCCTGGCTGACCCCTCTGGGGGTCCTGTCCTCGCTCACTTTTCCACTGTCCTCCCGTGTCCGGCTGCCCCCTCGGGCACCCTGTCTGGCCTGTACCTCCCCTCGTTCTTGACGAACTTGGTGAGTGGTGCAGACCTACAGGATGCGGGGGTTCACCAGTTCACTCCTGCGAGTCAGCGGGTGACCCACTGCACGGACGCACGCACAGGCCGGCACCTGGCCACGTTCTCGCGTCGGCCGGGGTCGAGCCTCTACACCCTGACCACTGAGTCTCCTCCTGTCCCCGCGTCCGGTCAGGTAGCAGCGTCGGGTCAGGTGTTTGCTGCTGCGTCCAGGTCTGGTCCTGAGTCTGCCCCCTGTTCGTGTCGCCTCCTGTCTCACGAGACTCTCCTGTGGCACCACCGTCTAGGCCACCCCTCCTTGCCCCGTCTTCGGGGCATGGCTTCCCGTGTCCTTGTCTCTGGTCTTCCCCAGTCTCTCC